TGGATATTACATATTGGAGGTTATCTCCGGAGTCTACAAAGTCCTGATACAAATTTCATATGGCTCCTAAGGCTGAGTTATGAGCCACTGTAAAGGAATTCTGTGGGGTAACTGAGGATCCTCACAAGTTTGCTGAGGAGTTGGATATTATTATTCAGGCCTATCGGTCTGGGCTTTCTGATTTATATCAGCTAGTTCTTTATATCTTAGTTGAAGGCCAGGCTCAGCACTGGGTGAAAATTGCCAGAAGGAAACATCTTGAATGGGACTTAGAAAAGTAAACCTCCAGTTTGGGGGAAGAAGCTAGAGAACTTGCTTGAAAACAATACCAAGCAATTCCTAAGGCTTTCCCAAAGCCAGTGTGAGGCAGGAAAGTTAAAATAGGAAACAAAGGCCTTAAGCTTTACCCTCCCCCCTTTTCTGTCCTGGCTGGAACATCAAAGGCATGACTTTTATTTACCACCTGATCTCCCACTTCTCCCTCCCCAACTTCCTATAGTTGAGACAAACAAATCTGAACTGGTCTCAACCAGATTCTACAGCCTTATTCACCTAAAAGTGACCAACAGGGCCATTTGCATTGTGACACCCTGAATTGCCATGACAGTTCTGGGAAGACCAAAAGAGAAATTGCTATCTGGAGAGTAGGGACAAGGACAAGCCACGTCAGCAGTCACCCCCACCAGCATCAGAAGCTGAGGGCTACCCTATCCCGCCCTTGCCTATGTTTAATAAAAACCTTCCATCCAGACACCATCAGGACGTCTCGTTCTCTAAGGTCACCCGCTCTCACTTCTTCAGTGTATACTTTTGCTTTAATAAATTTACTGTGCTTTGCTAAATCTTCCCATCCAATTTTGAATCCTTTCCTGGGCAGTGACAAGAACCTGGATCCAGTATTGGGCTGAGGCCTCCCTTGGCCTCCCTGGGTGCCCCCCTCCCCCCACTCCTGGGCACCATTTTGATTAGAGCAAAATTCAGACTTATTCACAAAAGTCTGATGAATGTGTTCATGAACGTTACAAAAGACTTCAGGCTGTTTTTAAGGAAAATCCTGGTCTTCCTTCAGATGTTGACTCTACTCGGGTAACTTTTAATTCTTTGTTTTTGAATGGGTTGAACAGAGATCTTTCCTTCCTAGTTGAGAGAGCCAGGAGGGAATGAGAAACCACAGCCACCCTAGATTTGTTTAATTTGGTCAATCAGCTTGCCCATACTCTAGATGAGCCACCTAGAAGTAAGATTGCCAGAATTATTAATTTTCAGCCTTGGCAAATGAGGGGCCCTACGTGAAAGTAAAAGACTCCAAACTTTTGCTATTGTTGCAGAGTCAGTACAGTGGAAAAGGGATTACTGAACCATGTTTAATTATTTCAGACTCTCAGCCTTCAAACCGTAACCACGTAGAAACTTCACTAATATGACCTTTCCTCCTTTCTTTCGATTCAAACTAGCCTCACCCACCATCATAAATCACCTGCCTTCTTCTGCCCTGCACACTCTACTCCCGTATCATTAAGTTCTCAGGACAGTCAGATACTGGCCAGCATCAAATAATCTAGGAAGAAAGCCTCAGGACTATGGACCCCCAGAGACAGAGTTTCATTCAAACTAGAGATAACATCTAGGCCTCAGTTGTGTTTCAGTTCCAGGTCAGAAAAGCAGCAAAACCAGATGAAGCAATGCCATGGTTGACATCAGGACCAGATACACTGGACATTTAAAATTGCCTTACAGGCCTGGCTGGCATGGCTCAGTGGTTGAGCATTGACCTAGGATCCAGGAGATCTCAGTTTGATTCCCAGTTAGGGCACATGCTGGGGCTGCAGGATCGATCCCCAGGAGGGGTTGTGTAGGATGTGGCCGATCAATGACACTCTCTCATCATTGATGTTTCTACCTCTCTCCCTCTCCTTTCCTCTCCCTCTGAAATCAATTAAAATATAAAAAAATAAAGTAAAACTGCCTAACGGACCATTTGAGGTTTGGCAAATAGATTATATACAGCTTCTCCAGTTCATGGATATAAATAAGTTTTAGTTATGATATGTATGTTTTCCCACTGGACTGAAGCTTTCCCTTGCAAACAAACTAATGCCTCTACAGTAGCTAAAGTCCTGTTAGGAAAGATTATTCCTACTTGGGGGACTCCTACTGAACTTCAGTGATCAAAGTACCCATTTTACGGGTCAAGTGCTACAATAAGTCTGTGCTAATTGGCCACTTCCACAACATTTTCATTGTGCTTACATCCTCAATTCTCAGGTTTAGCTGAACATACTAATGGCATTATTAAGATTCAATTGGCAGCCCTGGGTGGTGTGGCTCACTTGGTTGAGTATTGTCCCACGCACTGAGAGGTCACTGGTTCGATTCCATATTAGGGCACATGCCCAAGTTGCAGGTTCAATCCCCAGTAGGGCAGCTGATCAATGTTTCTCTCTCTCTCCCTTTCCATTCTCCCATCCTTTCTAAAATCAATAAAAAACATTTTTATTTTTTTTTTAATCCTCTCTTTTAAAAAAAATAAGATTCAATTGGAAACTTTGTAGAAACTCTTCAAATACCTTAGCCAAAAGCATTGCCATTAGTCTCTTTTGGGACTCATAAGCTTTCACCTTTCGAGATAATTACAGGATGCCACGTGCATTTGGCTACTGCTACTTTTGATCCACAGTTGGTAAAGGAGACATATTTCAATATTGTAAAAGCTTAATTGCTTCTATTGAAAATAATCATGCTTTGGTAGAACAATATTTTCACAGTGCCCTCCAAGAAAATGAAAGACTTAAAATCCATACTCGACAACCTGGAGATTTTTTTTACTTAAACATATTGCCAAAACGACTGAATCTGGCCTGTACAACACTTACTTACTGTTTCCTTTTCTTTGAAAGGATTGTGCCCTTGTTTACATTTCCTAAGCTATTCTGAAAGGGAGAGACATAAAAACAAAAACAAAAAAAAAAGAGGGAAACTTTTCCAGTTATTGAAGCCTTCATCAGGAACTTGGACCGGCCCTGTCCCCAGTAGCGCAGTTTACCTGATATGGATGGAGCAGTGCACCTAACACCATGTAAGGTGGTGGGTGGGTTCGATTTCCAGCCAAGGAAGGCTTCTAGTGTGTGCATTTGATTCCCGGGTCCAGGCAAGAACGGGAGGCAATGAGTCAGCTTTTCTTTCAGATCAATGTTTCTCTCTCTCCCTTCCTCTCTCTCTAAAAATCAATTTTTTTAAAAAAAAAAGAACTTTGATCTATCCAAGATAATAATGGTCTTTGTTATCTACAGGTTTGAGCTCCTAGTTTAAATTCATGTAGACTGGGTTATGTTGTCCTAATTCTGTTTTGAAATCTTCTTACACCTTGCTGACTGCCTAGCCCGTGAAGCTGGCTACTTTGGTCAGCAACATGTTTAATATTACTTAAGTTGCCAGGCCGGGCCTGGCTCAGCAGTTGAGCATCAACCTAGGATCCAGGAGATCAGGGTTCGATTTCCAGTCAGGGAACGTGCAGGAGGCAGCCAATCAATGACTCTCTCATCACTGATGTTTCTATCTCTCTCCCTCTCCTTTCCTCTCTCTGAAATCAATAAAGATATACTTAAATATATATATTACTCAAGTTAATGTAAGTGCAGACACAAGTTATTGAGTGACTGGTCAGCAAGGTGTTAAGCATGCACCAGATGCCTGTTAACCTTGGACAGGATCCATGCTCTTCCTCCTCTTTTGTGAGAGACAACACCTAGAAAAGGTCCTTCCTAACATGGAGGGGCAAAAAAGCTGAAACTGGAAGACCTGACTGTTGATCAGCAATGTTTTCAGAAAGTTCTTGATCAACAGAGGATGGGGAATGGTAAAAACTGGAACTTTAAGAAAACCTAATCTGTCGGGCAGTTGTATGACAGAAGCTGGGGCTTATCCAACGCTCTCCTCTACAGCAGTCTCGGGAGAATAAGGGAAAGGAAGGCAAAGGGTGCAGGTGACTTACAACCATTTTCTTCTTTTCTAGTACACCTAGTCAAGAGTAGCTAACGAATTTAGCCAAGTAAGGCAAATGTAGCTCAGGCATAAAATTTAAAAGCAAATACCTTCTTAACTGTGACCAAAACCGTACCCAAACCTCATTAAGAGAACACAACAAAAGCAAATACCCAGAAAAATAAAAGTAAAGGTCCAAGGAGGCTGTCTAAAGTGCTAGCCCACTAGGCTGTTAGGAGATCCTTTCTCCCTTTCCCAACTTCTCCCAGTTACTTGAACAGGAATGGCAGTAGATGCTTTCCCAGGCCCAATACAGCTGCTATTCTAAAGGAGATCAGGCAAAAAAATAATAAAAATTTTTTCCTTCTCAGTTCCTTCGTGGGCAAAGTAGAGGGAAACTATCCCTAATCTCCCAGGTTGTTAGAAAAATTACATGGAATAATGAAAGCACAGTCCCCAGCTGAGTGCGGGACACAAGCTGCTGGAAGAGACTCAGTGCCTATTTCTGCTGCCCACTCCCCACCCTGATGTGGAAGGTATTGTAGCTTTTTCTTCCAGCCCAGGAACTACGCAGCTATAAATAAGAAGGATCTCCTACCCTTTGGGACAGTATGGACAGACCTGGAGAGTATTATGCTAAGTGAAATAAGCTGGGCAGAGAAAGACAAACATCACATGATCTCGCATAAATGTGGAATCTAAAGAACTTAATAAACTGATGAGCAGAATAGATTCAATGACACAGAAGCATAGATGAGACTGATGAATGTGCCAGGGCAAAGCCCTGCTCCGGGATTTCTGAGTTGCATTTCCTCTGAAGTATCCAGCCAGCCCAGGGGGGACCGGGCAGGGCGAGGCGGGCTGGAGTGCGGCTTCAGGTCTCAGCCAAGGGTCCCCTCTCTTCACCACGACTCTGCTCACGGTTCGTCGTGCCCGAACAGGCTGGGGCAGGGACCCCCACCCCACCGCGTCTTGTTCCCCGCGCCTCCTCCCTGCCAGGCAAGGCGGCGGGCACTCACCAGTTGCAGGAGAGCAGAGACAATCAAGACCGGGGTTTTGGGTCTCCAGCGTCTACGCCGAGCGCTCACCTCCTCCGACCTCAGGGCTGGGGCGCGCCCAACCTGGCGCTGCCAAGTGCTCCTCGTGCGGCGGGAGAGCACGGCCGGCGGGGGGTTACAACCTGGCAAATTCATCAGGATCCTTAGTGTATCTCGGTGGGGGGTCGTGTCCCTTCAGCCTGCAGGAGGTTTGGTACTCAACTTGCGGGGAAAGCCTCCGATGTCACTCCAAAGTTTCCACAATGTCGGAGAGGCTTCTGACGAGTGCAGCAAAGTTGGGAAGTCACCGAAAGCTTCACTTCCGCGTGGGGTGACAAGGGCGGGAGGGGCAATCTGATGCCCTCTGACACATCCAAAGGCAAGTCCTGAAAGGGAAAAGAGAATAAGAATTCTAACAGCTGTCTTTCGGGAAAAAGTTGGTCTCAGCTAGAGAGAAAGCAGCAATTGCTCCCGATTTTATCCTGGACCCTGATGGGTTCACAAAGAAATTTAACTGTTAGAACATGTAATCCTGGCTATTGTGACCTATTCCAATTAATACACCTACTGGTTCCTGAGAGCAAGGCAACAGAATGGCTGAATACAGTTCACCAGCATACCCCTGTAGAAGATTTTTTAAAACAGAGACAGATGGAATTAGCCCACCGGCTTTATCAAGCCATACCTGAGATTTTTCCTCAGAAAATGGACTGGACCAAGATCCAGAAATGTAAAAGAAAGCCTGACAAACCAGTGCTTGATTTCTTTGCTTTGAAAAAAAAAATTTTTTTTTTCAAAAGTAACCATCCAAGAGGTAACTAATTTCGAGACTCACTGAATGTTTGCTAACTATCTTCTCTTCGTTATTAACTTTCATGAGAGACTGAGAGACAGCTTAACAGGGTACCAGCCCTACTCAGAATGGCCTAAAACAGCCCAGAGACTTGCTGAGATGTCTCTAACTCTCAGCTTGCTACATATGTCTCTCTGTAAACAGGGAACCAGTCCACAAGGCGTTGAGAGTCCCCTTTGGGGGTACATACTTGCCAACTGGGAGAAATTTGACTCTGCCCTCAAGAAAAAGGCTAATCTTCTTTTGTAACATGGCCTGGTCCCAATAAAAGAGAGATTGGCCAGTTAATGGCACCATTAATTTTAATACTATCTTGCAGCTAGGACCTGTTTTACCATTTCCAAGGGAAATTGACAGAGATTCCATATATCTAAAAGCCTTTATGGCTTTCAGAGACAACCCAAAGCTATGTGTTTTCTGTAAACTAGAAAAATATACCCAAATGGGAAGAAACATTCTAAAAATGGGTGAATAGATTTGTCAGCCCGATGTTGAGGTATTAAAATAAATAAATAAAAAGTACTGTCCTTGTTTTACAAAGCAGTCTTTACTGGGACAGAGGTGTGACTCCAGAACATTAGAGCCCACTAAATCCTTTTATCTTCCCCAAAACCTCCCCTGTTTGGCTCAAAAGTTTATGAAACCAAAGTCCTAAGACCTTTGAAATGCAAATGCCTAGTAAACAAACAAACAAACAAACATAAGAAAAATCTTTTATCTGGGCCATTTTATTTATTTATTTTTATTTATTTTTTTAAAGGTGAGCAATTTTAATTTTATTTTTGTTTAAAATATTACAGATGTCCCTTTTTCTCCTCAATGACCCACTCCACCCCGTCCCCTTCTCCTCCCCAACCCCTCTCCCCAACATTGCCCATGTCCTTGGGTTGTGCATATATGCATATAAATTCTTTGGTTACTCTCTCCCTCTCCACCCACCCGCCCTCCTCCGTCCTTCTGACATTCATCAGTCTGATCCATGCTTCCATGTCATTGAATCTATTCTGTTCATCAGTTTATTAAGTTCTTTAGATTCCACATATAAGCGAGATCATGTGATGTTTGTCTTTCTCTGCCTGGCTTATTTCACTTAGCATAATTTTCTCCAGGTCCATCCATACTGTCCCAAAGGGTACGAGATCCTTCTTCTTTACAGCTGCGTAGTATTCCATGGTGT